AACGAGACTATCTTATGCACTTTGTCATTGCGACACATATGCGCTTTGACAAGTCTTTGACTTATGAGAGCGAGTTGTTCCCGAGGTTAAGGAAAGCCTTCTTTGGCATGCACTATTATTTTGCCTCTGGCAATATTGTTTAAAAAATTTTGTATGATGTAAAAAATTTATCAGATGTATGTGGAAAATTTTGATGGCTATATTTTTGGTGACAAAACGGTTTAAAATTTTGTTAATGTGTTTTAGAATGCTTTAAAGAAATAAAGGGTTATGGGTAAAAACGGTATCGTCAAAAACGGTACGAGATTTTTTGACTTAAAATGGCCATAACTTTTGATACTCTCACGCTTAAGCTTTGAGTAATAGCTTAAAATGACCCTAGGACTTAGGCGAACAACTTAGGCTTAGGCTTAAGCTCAAACTTAGTCTTAGGCTTAAGAGTAAGCTCAAACTTAAGTTTTTGAGCCTACTCTGAAGCCTAAGACTAAGTTTGAGCTTAAGCCTAAGCCTAAACCTAAGCCTAAGTTGTTCGCCTAAGTCATAGGGTCATTTTAAGCTATTACTCAAAGCTTAAGCGTGAGAGTATCAAAAGTTATGGCCATTTTAAGTCAAAAAATCTCGTACCGTTTTTGACGATACCGTTTTTGCGATACCGTTTTTGACACTCCACCCAAAAAGGGTAGAGTGTCAGTAGGTTCTCTCTTTCTCCCCTTAAGGGTGATAAAACTTTTGTAACTACGTTAGCATCTACTGATGAGACTCGACTAACGTAGTAGTAAGCTAATTCTATCCGTCTAGGTTTAGAGTCGAAACGGTTAGAATATCATTAACATTTTCCATCACTCTTTCGTACTTCTCCCAAAAACAATCTCATTATTAGGTAACAAACTTAAAATATTATTAACAAAATACTATTACCCATAACCAAATAAAGATAAGGGAAAATCCGAAAAAAAATTTTAGCCCAAATGAAGGAAAATTAGAAAAAAAGAACTAAAAGGTGTGGAAGATAATTCGCAGTTTTAAAGTTACAAACTTTATAGTCTCTTGCGAAATAAAAAATTTTTAAATCTGTTTTTCTATCTAGCGGGATTGTTGACGAATTTGAATTTTTGTAAAAGTTTTGTGGAAAAGTTTTTGCGTTCTGTGTTTTATTATCTTTCCTAAAGACTTTGATTAATTTTGAAAAATTTTAACAAAATTTCGCCACGAAAAAATGAGCGATAAAAATTTTTTTGCCATAAATAATAATAGTAAAAAATTTGAAAAAGGATAATATTCAGGATAAAAATGTTGAAAAACTGGTTGTTTTGTCACTAAGATAAGGTGTTCAGGTTGCAAGTTTTAGTAAACTAGTACCAATTTTGGCGAAACATTGGTACAAAAAATTAAAAAATACGAAATCAGATATTTCACAGATTTTGTCTGACATTTTTGGTCATTTATTCCATGACCAAATTTCTGGCATATCGGGAGCCACTTTGGGTCCAGAAAATATGTGATACGCAAAAAAATTTTTGGTGACATATAAATACAAGTTAGGATGCGATACACTAGAAAAAAGTACAAGTCAGAGCTAAAGAAAGGTGGAATGAAATATGAACGTCCAAAGCGGACGATTTTTTTTGAAATTTTTCGATCGTCAAGAAATCACTAAAGTGTTCACAGCTTTCACTTTCTTTAATACCTGATTTGATTGCTTCTTCAAGAGTATCGCACCTGACTTCAATACTATGTTCTATCAAAAATTTGGTGCGTATCACACATTTTTGGTTCTAAAGAGGCTCCCGAACATACAAAAAATTTACAGCAAAAAGTAATTTTCTGGAGAGAAAAAAATTTTATCTTCGGGCCGTACCGTTACAAAATCTCAACATTTCGAAAATACGCGCCAATTTGAAAATTTCCATTGTGTAAACTCAATAAAAAGTGCTCTTTTAGACATTTCCTAGCAGTTCCTAACATCGTAATATAAAAAATTAACCGTTAAACTGAACAAAAACGGGACACTGCATCTCAAAGACAAGCAAGTATTGAGGCCAATATTCAAGCGCCGCAGGCGTCTCAAGCCGGAGAGAACAATGAGATCCAAAGTGGTCGATGAGTCACTAAAATGCGTAAATTTTAATCTCCGAAATTGCATTTGTTTCAAAACAAACTCTGAGGTCACCGATCCGTTCTCGATTATATTGACAGAGTTTGCGGCGCCGAACTGCTGCAGGATTTGCTGGACATGGCAATTTATCTGGAAATAAGTAATATACAAAATATAAACGAGTAGAAATATAAACAACAGTACTCGCCCAGAGGAATACCATTTTTTAGTTCAATACTGAGCTCGGAAAATTCAAAATGTATGCTAGCTCTATGCACTTGGGGATGCACCGCGGGGTTGCAGAGAGGATTGGACATAACTTTTTTATTTCCATACTAGGAGTAGTTGATGTTATCTTCAAAAATGTAGAGGCAGGTGTCTATTTTTTAAATATAGATGAAACACTTTTTTGTTCCATTTAACCCCCGGAAATATGCAAACCCCACTGAAAAATTCTGTTTTGGGATTTTTCAGAGTGGATTGCATATTTTTAGGGGGTCAAATGACGGTATAAAATTTTTTCATGACAATTATGCAAAAAACACTACTCGCCATCGAATGAAAAAAAAGTTATGACTAGGGTGCGGATTTTCCGGACATGAAAAATGCCATTTTCGGACACAAAATCGGACATTTCCGGACAAGTAAAATTGCTAAATCAATAGGGGGGACCCTATTGATTTTTTTGGCAAAAATTTTTTTCCGAAAAAATTTAATCAAACCCATTAGGGGTCCCCCATGATTTTTTTGGCAAAAAATTCTAAAAAAATTTTTTTGCTAAAAAAACCATGGGGGAAAAATGGTATGAAAAATCATTTTCGGGAAAAAATTTTTGCCAAAAAAATCAATGGGGGGGACCCTATGGTTTGAAAAATCATTTTCGGAAAAAAACTTTTGCCAAAAAATCAAAAGGGGGGACCCTATTGATTTCATGTCCGAAAATTTTGTTAGAAGTCGCAAAATCGGACATTTCCGGACATGTCCGGGAAATCCTCACCCTAGTTATGACAAACCCTCTGCATACAAACCGCAGGTGCATAGATCTAGCATAAAAATTAAGGAGTCAATCATCATTGATCACTTAACTTTAATATAGTTATACTTTTCCTAAGATGAAATTAATATCACTTTGATTCTTCAAAATCATTGGTTCATTTCATTGTTATTAATATATTCCGGAAAAGTTGGACTTACATCGGTTCCGTTGGAGTTGGCAATTCCATAAAACTGGCAATTGAGCTCATTCTCCACCTCAATTTCAAATCCCATCCAACAGGTGGACGATCAGTCAAAGACAACGGTAAAGCTCTTGACCGGAATATCGAAATCCAGAACTATTTTACAGCATTTGACCTTCTGAAACTATAGAAATTTTAAAGGTCGGGAAAGACATCATGGACAATAAGATACTTTACACGGGGCGTTTTTCTCGGAAATCACTTTTTTGACTTTGTATTTCAAAACGTAAAAATCCCGAAGTAAATTTCCAAAACTTTCAACTTTTCTCGAAAATTTTCCAAATATACATTATGGAAAAGCATAATTTTGCGGAAAAACGATTGCAGTTTGAAACATTTTCAAAGCAGACAACATTTTGTAAAAAACCAAAGGCATCGAAATTCCGTTTTCCGGAATTTCGTATTTTCCCGACCCTATTCAACACTAAAAACCAAAAGAATGGCATTAAATCAAAAGGATTATAAAACGGACTCACAGGAAAGCGAATATAAAATTTCGGCTGGCTGTCTGACGCTCTGATTGACGCATCTGTCTGTCTGTCTCTCTCTCTTTCTCCTCTGTTCCCTATCTCTCTTCCATGGTCTGATACGTGTCGCCAAGCTCAAGAGTATGGCCGTTTCATTTAAATACGCACTCATTGTGGAAGGGTAGCGGAGTCACACTCCTCACAAAGAGGTGAGGACCGAGAAAAAAAATTAGAGATAGTTGGCAGAGAAGTTAGAGAAAAGCAAACACGCAGAGAGGGTGAATCATTCGATGAAATGGCAGCGAGGAAATGCAATGCAATGACAAACGGAATTGTAACGGGCGCATTTCCTTCCGAAAGTTTGTCCCCGTTTTATACGAAAATTGGGAAATGCATTGGAATGAACGAAAATTGACTGTACAAGGGCTGGCCTAATTATAACGGTCGTAGATTGTCTGGAAGAATGGAGAACGGGCAAATTATTTAATTGTTTCAAGATCAGTTAAAATGTTCCAAAGTTATATGGTCAGAAGATGAAAGCTAAAGTGAGAGATCGAGAACACAATAAAGTACATTCTTCTAACACCGGGGATCGAGGCCCGTTGGTTATATCGAAGTTATTCACATTTTAGCCTGGATTTTTCCCGATTCCAAATCTGGCCCATTAACTTCGGGATTAAATTTTTGTCCAATTTTTGACGTCCTGCCTCATTTCTGATATTGACCATATATAACCAATTTTTTGTCCTGAATCAGGATATGAAATTTGTTTGGCAATTCTGTCTACGCTTTTGCACGTTTATGAGTCATTATCCGAGATACACCTACAAAAATCGAGGAAGTTAAAATCAAAACCCCATTTGGTGTGGCGAATAAGCAAATCGACCTCGGAGAATCCTATCAACAAGCCAAATCAAGATAAATTTTGACACCAATATTTGTATTTTCGCCAAATTCGCAAAACCAAAAATTCGGGTTTAAAGAATATATCGAAAAATAACGTCGGATATGTCGTCTTTTCTGACGAGATCTTAGTCCATTTACTCGTATTTTCCAATGATTTTCAGCTCAAAAACTTGTAAAGCAAACGTTGAGTACAACATACATTGGTTTATTAAAAAAAAATTTTGTACTTTATCGTAAACATATTCCTTTGCAAAAATCAACAAAAATAAAAAGCGATGAATGAAAAAAATTGACTGCCGCATAAAAGGGTTGAACTTTTGACCTTCGGCTTATTAGACCGACGCTCTAACCAACTGAGCTAATGCGGCACACGATGTCACTGCTCGTTATGTCAACTATAAGATTGCGAAGCAATTTCAGTCGGTTGATTTATCAGTCAATTTTAACGATAAAAAATTGACAGATTAGACAGTGACTTAATTCGAGATTCGCCCAAATTCTTTAAAGTTCAGACGGAAGTTGCGCCAGTCTCTTTTTCGAACACCAAATCTGTAACACAAGAAGGAAGGTCCGACATACAGGTCCGACATACAAACAGTCCACGTGTCGCTCCTTTTTAACATACCTTTCAATTGTTGAAAGGGACCGCAAAGGAGTTTCCCTAAAAGGTGACTCGTGAATCTCGTTCCTTTTTATAACTATTTGACAAAAATAGACTTCAACCAAACAGTCTCCAAGTTCTAAAAACAATTTCCGGTTCTCAAACAGACCAGGCCCTTTGACAGAATAACTGTTCTTGACAATTCATAATGATTTCATTTGCCAAACAGTACCGAATGCGCAACTCTAAAACACAATAGACCAGTAAATAATTTGCTCCGAGACCAAAATGCATGACGCCATTCTCGAAGACGCCAAATTTATGCATCAAATATCCCAAAGATTCGCATATTTCTCAATATGACTGTTCTGTGATCTCGAAAGAATGTCTAAAATGAGACTATATATGAGACTATATAAGGCCGCTAAAACGCAGCTATTCCAGTATTGAGATTCCAATACGAGATTCTTGTCTTATTTTGAACTCCTAAGAGTACGCCCTGTTCGAATTTTGGCGCCGATTTGAACTGGATTTGGCTGATTTTGAAGGAAAAAGTTCTAGATCTAAAAAAGTTTCTTCCATTCTCAAATTGATCTATTCAAGGATGACCCGTAAAATGACTATTACTATCCTTGCCATTTCCGTCTTCATAGTATTCTTGTTAGTGAAAAATTCGGACGCAGTTCCAGCTGGATTGCCTAAAGGTGAAGGCACCGCTCTTGACTTTGACTTTGATGATCCCCAAGGAGCTGTGAGCGATAACTCGGAAGTGACCACCCAGTAAGTTTTTGTCTTAAGTAAAATTTCTTACGAGTTACTATTGGACTGACATGGTACACTCAGTCCACTCAGTTTCCAGTCCTTCCATTCCAATTCCATTCAACAGAATGCTTTATCAAGAGAATGCATTTTCAAAAAATTCAAAAATTTGACACAAAATGACTTGTATCTCGAGAACCTTGAATCGTGATGCAGCATGCAATATACCTATCGGTAGCCCAGAGTCTTAGGTCTGATTTGAGCACTTCCCCTTCCTTCTAGAATGTTCCAGTAAAAAGTTATGGCAAAAATGCCCGCAGGGTTTTGACCGGTTCCCTATGAAATTTGGTTAAAAATTGGGAGCGCTTTGTGGAAATTTTGCTAATGAGTATTTTTAAAATTATATTGTTCCTCGCATGTATAAAATTAGGCATTTTCTTCCCAAGAACACTTGATCTTATCCTGAAAAGAGCTCAATCGCTTCTTTTCAGTGTACGAGCTAAACGGTACGGTTATGGCGGCGGCTGGGGCGGTGGTTGGGGATGCCGCTGGTGCTTCCGTCGTCGATTCTTTGGCTATCCACGATATGGCGGCTATGGGTACGGCGGCTATGGATACTATGGCTGATTTCAATCCTGCATTTGAAGAAACAGTTTCTGTTTCGTCAATCATATCTGTACTATATGCCCAGTAATATCTGATTGATATACATAAATGTTTCATAACTGTTTTTCATAATCCGTAAAACTGTCGGAGTCGACTCCGGAGTCGACCTCCGACAAAAGGCCCGGAGTCGGAGTCGACTTTTGAAAAAGTTGCGACACTGGTTATTACTCTTATAAGTCCAATTTTTAGTCGTGAGTCAGAATATGTAACTTATTTAGCCATTTATCCACAATTTCGTCTGTAAAATGATCATTTGTACGCACACAACACACGCTGACTATTTCTTACTGAAGTCAGCGTGTGTTGTGTGCGTACAAATTTGACGCTATTGTCTGAAGAAATAGGCAGACGAACAGACAACACTCTCTTCCAACAACACATTCAACGACCTAAAATAGGACCAACCATACAAAAGGTCCTAATTTAGGACCATACAATGAAAAAGACCTAACTTAGGTCTTTCAACAAAGTCCGACCAGCAGGTTTATTTGGTTCTTTGTTAGGTTTAATTAGACCTCAGAAAGTCCTATTTTCCTTTGTGTTAGGACCAAAATCTCATCCCTGTTTATCAGATGTTTGAGTAATACATTTTTGATAAACGTGGTAATAAATCTAACTCAGTAATATGTATGACTAAACATGGACGAATGTTTTGAGATCTTGTCGGTATCCTATAATCAACGGGACGGCTTACCGAGCGGATAGTTATATGCTTCTTCTCAAATAAATCATGTGATGAATTGTTGATAATGGACCCAAGTTGATAATTTATTGAAAAAAGGTGAATGTTTTTTGTAACGTTAATAATACTTTCGGGCGCATTTCACTTCATGCCTGGGCGTTATGGCCGACCGTTTTTTTACGAAAATTTGTTGATTTGAATATAAATTAGTCATACTAATTATTTCGAAAATATGATACAATGGTTCCAGCCTGACGTTTGTACGTTAGCTACGCTTGGGGATGCTCTCATTTATCAGATGTTTGAGTAATACTATAGTTTAACAACGTTTAGATAAACGTGGTAATAAATCTAACTCAGTAATATGTATGACTAAACATGGACGAATGTTTTCACTTCATGCCTGGGATTCACGTGGGAGTTATGGACGTTATAGCCAAAAACCAGTTTCCCACACTCACCATTGCTAAATATATGACGAGAAATTTTGAAGACGATAATTAATCAAATTTTTAACAATTCGATCCATGAACTGTTCAATGACGTCAGTGCAAGAAGTAGTCTTGTCAATGTAAGAACTGTAAACCAAAATTTTGGAAAGTGCATAAGTGCCTTTATCCGTTCAGCTATACCTTTATTCGTCTTATAGGAACGACCGACACAATAGTTTTCCGAACTAAAAATTTCTGACCGAGATTGGGTAATACAGCTCTCAGTAATAGTAGGCCTTCTCAAATAGAACACTACCAGGGGAGGAGAACCCGCGGCTCTCGCCGCGAGCGTTTGCGTGTATTATTCGTACACAACTATAATTATTCTGATTGATTAGCATACGCATATCTTCGGATCCCCTGATTTGCCGGATTTCCGGA